CCCTCTTTATTTTTCCTTTTCCCCTCCTACTTATTTTTCTCCTCTTTATTTTTCCTTTACTTTTCTCCTCTTTACTTTTCTTCTCTTGATCTTATTTTTCCCCCTCCTCTTTATTTTTTTCCCCCTCCTCTTTATTTTTCCCCCTCCTCTTTATTTTTCCTTTGTTTTTCCTCTTTATTTTTCCACCTATTTGTTTTCCTTCTCCTCTTTTATTTGTTTTTCCTTCTCTATTATCCCCTGTAACACACTAGATTGAACTTGCAACACAAAGGGACTTTTTCTGTGATCAGTGTAGCTACGCAATAGCCTGGTTCCTCATTGTGTGAAATCTTGTAGCTATGCTGGGTGTGAGCAATGGTTTATTAAGGACTTCAGCAGGTATTAAAGCAGTGAGATAGAAGGCTGTTATTGAAAACTGGGCTTTCCTCCAGTTGTGGCATATATTTCAGTGGTTTCTAAACATTTTTCTAACTTGAAATTTCTCTCTCTTGCTGTGCTGACCCTTGATTTTTGCATGGTTTTAGGACTATCTGTCTGAACTTCTGCAAGTATCTGACCACACTGTATTATCTGGCAAATTCATTATTCGTTGGGCTTGTTGCTGATAGATTCTTATTTACTGATTTTACACATAAGAAGTTGGTCTGTATTCATTCTTGGTAACCACGGAGCTCTAGCAGGAGTTGTTTTAGCACAGCATGTTTAAAATTTAAAGGCAGGCTGCTGGTTGTGTGTGTATGCATTGTGTGCACAAGTTTGCTGGGAATTTGTTTCTTAAATATATATATATATATATTTTCCTCCAGTTAATTTATTTGTTTATCAGTCCTCCTTTGTTAAGCTGTATGATAACATAGAAAATGTTTTACAGTTGATTCTTCTGGTTTTTTTTAATGGTGTGAAAATCATTTAAAAGTTTGCCTTTGCTTGTGTTCTTGACAGAAGACACTCAGGAAGCATCAGCTAGTTTTGCAGACATTGGCACAAAAGCTCAGGCGTAGGTGATGTGTGTTACGGAGGTATTTTATGCAAAATAATGTTTCCACTTAAATATGACACCAACTTCAGTTCCAGGCAGGTCTACAGTTCAGTTGCATTGTGACAATATTAACTGAGGGAACAGGAAGCAGGTCAAAAGCTGTTTACTAGGGAAAGCAGCAACACAACCTTATTTTTGCCCCTTTCCCACCTTGGAAATATATTTGTATGTAGCCGGTGCAGCATGCCCAAAAAGTTCTGCAATTCATGCAATTTTGGACAGATGGGGAGTCCTGAGTTCCTCAGAGAAGCTGCTTTCACTTTATCCCTTGATGTCACAGGCTAACCCTACCTCTCTACTAGTGCCACAGCTAGTCCTGAACAATGAGTACATCACATTTCTGGTGGATTAATGTCTTTCTAACTTCCATTGTGCAATTTTTTTCCCACCTTGATCGGAGGACTTCCTGTGTTATGTAATGAGACCTGTCGAAACTCGCCATCTGTCCCCACAACTCTGTTTTTCTCACATGGCAAAGCTACTGTTAACGTTTGCACCATGGAGATAACACAGTAAGATGATCTGTTATTGAGTCACGCATCTCCTTATCTTTCTTCAGGTGAAGAAGGTTTTCCCTTCCAAAATGACTTTGCGAGCTCTGGTTTTGTGTCTGGCATGTGCTGGGCTTGGAAAGGCAAATGGTAAGTTAAATTTCCTGAAAATGTTTGGAGAATTGCTTTCTGATTCCTGCGGCTTCAATGGTCAGAGTAAGAGGTAAAAAATAGATGAAACGCAGATTGCAGGTGCTATTTGACATACGTTAGATAGCTGAAGCCTAGATATGGAGCTGGCAGATGTGACACAAGACCTCCTGGAGCCCCATTTGAAGATGGGAGGGACATGCAGCATCCCATATCTATAGTGACACTGGACACTGTTGTTCACTTGAATTCACAACTTCCTAGAGTGGATCCTTCCCTTGTGAACAAATGTCCCCCTCCCTCCTTCTCGAGTGTGCTGCAAACTCTGAAGCTACATGGTCCAGAAATTCTCTTTAGCCCATTTTGCTGTTCAGTTCTCAGAGAACAGCCTGTTGTGCACTTCCCTTGTGTGTTCAATCTTCCTCTAGCTTTTAGGAAACTGTGTCTTTGCTGAGAATGGGAAGCCACGAGCTGATTTAATACAAACTGAAGTAGGAAGTCTGCAGGGATGGATACAGAAATAGGGCATGTCTTTTTTTGTTAAACAGTTTCGAAGAAAGCCAGACTCCCCAGCTGATACAAATCAACATAACTTCATTGATTTCTAGGAGAATGCAGAAGGACTTTTTGGTGGGGGTAAACCATAGAAACAATGTAATTGATGGGATGGTTGTGCCTGTGGGTAATCCAGGCCTTAGAATCAGCATTAGGCTTCGGAATATGTGTGATAACTGCCCATTTCACTAACTATTGTGTGTCACTACAGTGGTTCCGCAAGCTGAACACAGAAGTGTGAAGGTGGGCGACAACGTGACTCTCGGCTGCGCCTTGACAGAAAACAAGGATGTTCTGCAAGTTACGTGGCAAAAGGACTCTGAAAGATCACACGATAATATAGCTACCTACAGTACCATAAAAGGATTAAAGATTCATGAGCCCTATCAAGATCGAATGAATTTCACGAGTCTGGTACTCAATGAGACAAGCATCACTTTCTGGGACACTAGAATGGATGATTCGGGGTGTTACACATGTCTCTTCAATACTTTCCCTTTTGGCTCCTTCTCAGGACGTACCTGCCTGAGTGTCTTTGGTGAGGTTCTCTGTGGGGATATGTCTCTAGTGGAAAAAGGTGTTTTCTCACCTACGGCATTTCTTTGAGCAGACTCGGGAACTGCAGTGGTAGGAGCATCCCTCAGCGGAACGTGGTGTTGAAACAGAGCGGTATTACTGTGAGCAAGACTCTGGGGGGTCATATTTAAGCCTGTTCTGGTGGTTTTGGCTCTGGGCTGTCCTTGTTTGTTTTTCTGTCAGTAGTAGCTAAAAGTCAAGGAGTGGGATCTTTGTTTGTAAGCAGTCTCAGCTGGAACTTGGACAAACCAACATTGCCTGTTGCAGTTTCCTCTTGGAGCCAGGTACAGCCCTGGTGCTGTGAGCTGCTGTGCTGAACTCTACTGTTGATGGGGAATTAGCAGATAGGAGAACAGTGCAGACCAAGAAATGATTTTAAGAGGTTATTTTAAAACCTGGGATTTCCAGTTGAGTGAAATCTTTGGGGTATATGACTTCAGTATAAGGGAAGGAGTATTGAGTCATGGGGGGGACCTAAGCCGATGAACTCTTCTTTCATTCCTGTGTCATGGGGGTCAGCACGAATCCAGTAAGCTGTTCTCTGATTGATAATAGTTAAACTGCTGTTACTTCTTCTGACCACGTGCTCATTGTGGTGATGGATTGTCTCATTTGTGTGTTGGAAGGTCTCAATGCATCTGTCCATTACAACGTTTCCGAAGGTCATTTGATAGCCATCTGTAATGCTGTTGGCCTCCCAGAGCCCACCATCACCTGGAACTTGTTCAATTCTACTCCTATACAGGAGACAGTCAGACACACCAATGGAATGGTGTCCATCACCAGTAAACTGGAGATCTACAACACTCAGAGCATCACTGCGCAGGACTTGACCTGCAAAGTAAGCAACAGAAATGAGAAAATGGAGTTGCCTGTGAAAATGCAAGGAGGTAAGTGAACAATACAAGCTATCTGGTAGTGTTCTCTTGGCCTCTGTGTTTGCCAATAGCATGTTTGGATAGGAATCTGCTGGGAAGAGGAGGGAATGAGATGTGTATGTGCCAAGTAAGAAAGGAAATCCTACTTTGCGTTCATTGACATCTTTGAGACTATTACATATTGGGGTCCATTCCAAGAGCAAAAAAGCCAAACTAGTCAGTTAGGGAGATATGGGTTTTAGAGGCACCATGGATTTTACAGCAAGTCAAACTTCACGCAGGCCTTCATAGTTTCTTTGACAGTCCTAAGCTAGATATAAATATTTGTCACCTGATATCTACCTAGATGAAGCAAAAACTCTATGGGTTGCTTAATGAACACTGAAATGGCAGTTTTGAAATGAATAACAAATTATCTCTGAACAAGAGTTAACCAAACACTTCAGTTAAACTTTCTACATGTTTTGATGCAGCTAACCTGTGTATTATGTTTTAGTTTCTCTGATATTTTTGCTTAGACACGTGTGCATTGCAGTAATGGTCAGGGAGAAATATTATTTTCAGGCAGACAAGAGGTGATCAGTTGAAGATATTTACTTTAGTTTTATGGGGAAATCATAATACATCAATGTAATAACTGAATGCCTTGTAGTGCTAATTTATTTCTTCTTCCAACATTCTATTCTGATGGAAAGACTTTCACCCACCCCAGTTCTATAGATGAGAAATGGAAATAGTAAAAGCTGAAGTACCATTCGAATGAACATTGACTTAGGTGATTTAAAATTCACATGTCTCCAAATCCAGAGCCTTAAAAGGAAGACCCCTTGGAAATTAGGAAGACAGCAAAAGCAGCTTGAGATTGTGGGTTAATGCCCAAATTAATTGCTCAAGAAGTGATTGTTAGAGGAATAGTAGTAGAGAGTAAGATCTGACTTTTTAATATCTTCTCTCAAAAAGTTCAAAAGCAACTTAGTTCTTAATTCTGAGTGACACTAACTGAAAAGTACAATAAATCTTTTTGTCCTGTCTCAAACACAGTATTCTTTTGGTTTGACCTTTTCAAAAGGAAATGTGTATCTCGGAAAGCAGGAAACCAAGACTGTTTTTATTCCTTGATAGGAGAATGAAAAATCAGCTAATAGCTTGTTGTTTTACCAATCTTATATTTTAGAGAAAGACAAATTCAAACGAATAGTTCAACCTAGCTTTGTTAAAAGACATGACAATTTTGGTTTGGTTCAAATAAATTTTAATTCAGAAAGTTTTCCAGCTAACATCAGTGAGCATTGAAATGAGCCTTTGTATTATTGTTTTGATTAATGGCAGTCAAATGAAGTGGTTAATGTCTCACAAGGGAGGGACATTTATGCTCAGATGTTGAGTAGAGCTATTTGCAGGCATCAAACCAGCCTGTCTTCTCTTCTGAAAGTTAGTTTAACCTTTGCAACAGTCATAAGTGTTTTAACAGTAAAAGGAATAACTTATTTTAGAAATAAAAAACTTGCATTCTGAATGAACAAAAAAACTCTTTAGAAAGTGTCAAAATTTGTATAAAGTTCTGCTTATGTATGCATGCCAAAATATCAGGTATGGGAATGTCAGTTTTCTTTGCCATGGATGAACATGAGCATGTCTCTTCTTCACAAAGCATTTTCTGTGGGCAAGTTGGTTTGTCTTTGAAGATACACAAGTTCACTTTCTCTGTTGAGCAATTTCTGCTTTCACTTAGCTTAGCAATAACTTTTGCAATCTCAGTGAGGAGCCATTGTTTCTTTTTGCTTTTTTTCCTTTATAAACTAGCTTAGTTTTTGGTGTATTTTTTGTTGTTTTGTTTTCACAGAAGACAGATCCTCATTGCTTTGGCTGATGGTTGTTGTGGGGATTTTAATTGTTGTCGTAGTTCTGAGTCTGATCATGCTGTGCTGGAGGAAGAGGATATGCAGGAGGGGTTGAAATGGTGAGTTATTGATGCATGGAAGCCAATGGTTTTCATAGAGCCCATAATAAGGTCTGGTCATCTGCAGAGAAGAATGAGGCTTTGTTGAGATACCATTAGGGGGTATGAAACTGTCATATCAGACAAGTACACTTTATAATGATGTGTTTACAGTTATTAGAGATTGCCTCAGTTGCATGTAATTTTAAAAGCTGTTTTCCCACTGCTACTGCCAAGGGATAATACAACACTACAAATTGTGAAGGAAGGATCCAAGCAGAGCAGGATATGCTGCTCATAGTTTGCTTTGAGGCAGAACTCTCAGCAGAAGAAATTTACTGATCTTTCACATTTTCATGGAGGGCCACAAAAGTGTCGAGTGGAAGTACACTCAGCAAATTTTTGACTGGAGAGGTGTTGGAGAGAAACCCGCTTATGCAGAGTGACATGCCTTCAAGGGAAGGGCTTTCTTCTGCTCACAGCAGCCTCTTTGTATTTTTAAGACAACAAGTGTAGTATGATGGAGAAGTACACTCAAACTTGGCATATGAGTCTGCTTCCTAATGATAAATTAAGGAGAAATTCCAGTCAGCATAATGTCCTTGTATGTGTGATAACCTGATCATGGATCAACTCAACTTTCTAATCTTAATTACTAATAACAAAATTAAAGGAAAAAAAAAATAGAGGAGAGGGCTGGCCTTAGCCTTCAGAAATCACAAACATTTGATGGTCATTGGTAGTTTCACTCTGGTTTAACACCAGCACACATTAATTCCATTCCTGAATATTTAGATACTTGCTTCATGATGATAATGTGATATAAGGTAAAGAAGTGTTTCTAGGTGTATCAGACCTGTCTGTTGTGAACTTAGACTTATAGAATCTATTGTTAAGAGGCTTGATCTTGTAAATCTGCTACTGTTAGAGACACAAAAGTCTTAACTGAAAAGAAAGAGAAATGAACAATTCTTACACCCCAAATATAACTTCTTAATTGTAAAATGTATGTGAGCTTTCCATTGATCCTATAAACAATAAATTCAGATCCTGTAAGCTATAAATTCAGAAGAAAAAATTTCTGTTGGGTTTTCAGACCAACATGGAAGTTAAAGGACAAGGAGTTGATTCTTAATTAATTTTTTAAAGCCAACAAGAAGAGACCTTGAGGCAGAGATGACCTGGAAGAGGCCTGGGATCACCCACTAGAGCAGATCAGAGAGTGACCAGGCACAGAGAAAACTAAAAAGTGGAGGTGCGGCCTTGCAAAGTTGTGAAGCCCCTTTGTTGCGTGCCAGATAACAACTACGCTGGCATGCTGTGACTGCACTGGCACCTGAAGCAGTAGCAGGGCCAATCAGTGCAATATTGCTTGACAAGACTAGGATGTTCATGTTTAGACTAGGCTGAGGATGTGGACATATCTTCTGGCATTATTCTGGCCCTTGCATATTAGCGGTTCCCCAGGCAAAGCCCACACGTGGTCTTGGTGATAGCTTCTAACAGGACCATCTCCAGCAGGCAGTACGGTTAGCTTCGCAACAGGTTTCCTATGTCCTACACCACCCACTAGGTATCAGACTTGGAACCCTTGAGCCATTTCATGCATCCTTGTGCCATATTGTAGGTCTTGCAAGACAGGATTTCCTGCAGTGGAGACATTGCTGTGATGCACCACAGCAGAGCCTACGCATTATTGTGGAAACTTTGAACAGAGCCCCCTCCAGAGCCTTGTAAGGAAGGCGTATGAAACAAAAAAGCATAATATGTTTAAACTGAAAGCACCATGCACCTTCTTCCTTAGCTAATGGCTCAGACCTTGAAGCCCACCTGTGTCAGCAAGAGAAGTGGGGTCTTACACCCCACTGCCTGGGAGGATAGCTGGATTCCTGTCCCTACCTATGTGCCCGTGTGTCACAGGGTCAAGACTTTATGTGAATACCTGTTCACAGGGCAGAGGAAATAAATTAGATGAGCAGTGTTTAGCAGTGGGTGTAAGTTTGTTTTTTGATTAGAGTTTATCAACAGAAGCAGGATGTGCAGGACTTCAGTTGTTTGTGTTCCTTCCCATTTATCATAGATTTTGATTAACTGTGATGCCAGGATGTGACTTCTGCAGTGGGTTTGTAAGTCACTCAGTCTCTGTCCTTTTAACGTAGTCTAATTTTTATCAGTCTGTATCTTTTCAGTTGCTTTTTGGTCTTGAGTTCTGAAAATATAATGACCTGGATCCTTTTTGCATAAAGGCAGCATTACGTTATCCAGAGTAATTTCGACCAGCTGATCCTATTCCTTCGTGTAGTGACCAGCTTAGGGAAATGTGTAGTCCCTCTTCCTAATTTACATCTGTTTCCCTGAAGGCCTCATTAGTTAGTTTGTTGTAAAACTCCAATACTGGTGCAGTTTGATCACTCTGTCACCATCTGATTTTTTAAATTTTTTTATTTTTTTTCTGGATGCTCTTTTCTGCCTGTTGTTAGAAATTACTTACAATTTATCTCATATATGATTCCACTGTCACTTCCCCAGCCAAATCCTTAGAATGACAAGAATACCTGTGGAGCTACAGTAATTTTTAATAGTATGTTTAAAGTGTGTTACCACTCCATAAATACCACATTGTAATGAGGAAATCCTCTACACCTCGTTGGCTCCCCTCTGAGCAGCACAGTGTGGACCATAGTCTGGTTTTGCCATGACTTTGTTTTTCCCTGATCATATGTGAAATCTGTTTATGCTCTTTAAAGCATTGATTGCAGTTGATTTGTCCAAAAGAGAATAACATCTTGCAGAGAGTCCTTTTCTGGTTTTATCCTCAGAATGTGTTGGAAGGAGGAGCAGCGCCTACGTGCAGTATTTCTGAATGCATTTTTTTGTAACAGCACAATAGAGAGCTGATAGCACTGGCTGGAGGATACCAAAGCCTGTATGAGGTCATTGTCTGGGGCTTCAATACTTCTTTTCATTCTGCCCTAGATAACAAGCAAAGCCTTTCCAGTCTTGTCAAGATGCCTGGTTTTTAGAGTAAAACAACAGCTTTTTCTCTGAGTGGCTGGAGAGCCTTCTCTATCCAAGTCTCTTCTGCTTCTGCTGTTCAGAGTATGGTTGGTTTTTGCTTTACTTTTATTTTTGTTGTTTCCCTCCTCTCCAGCTCTTCACCCGATTCACACTTAGGAATCGGGTGAAGAGCTGGAGCTCAGAGTTGGTGTCCCATCCCTCAGGCATTTACTTTGCCTACCAGTTACGATGCATAGGTACATTATGGTTCTCCCTGAAAACATTCCAAGTGAAGCGTCTTCATAACATTTGGCAAAAAGTCATTTGTTTGGAAACCAACTGAGCAGCCTTTGTGGCGAGAGCTGATGCAAAAGTTATGGAAAATTTGCATCTTCATCCTCTGCCAAGCAGAGAGGTGAACCTAGCCATGCCTGTCTCTTGATTTAAATGCAATTATCAGGCTGCAATGAATCACCAGACATAACTTCGCCCACGCTGGAGGTTTCTCAGTGCTACTCTTCTGGTAGAACGTTACACCATTTCCTACCTGACTCAACTGATAGAGCTTAACTGTAGACTACACCAAGGTAAAGCAGTCCAGTTAACAAGGCAAGTGCCAGGATCTAAGCAAAATAAAGGCTATTAATCTGAATAAATTTCTGTGATTTATCTATCACATACATGTCTCAACTGAATGCTTTCCACAGCGTCAGTTGTTTATTTCAAGGTTTGTAGGACACTGACATTACAGCCTGGCCAGTTAAAAAGCTTTATAGTCAGTTCTCAGGACCTGGCAGTCTGCAGGGGAATAAAACTCCACACAAACAGTTTTCTGGATGCTTACGGTGGTCTGTGACAAAGGGCTGTTTCACAAATGGATATAAAAGCCAGCATGATTTTGGGGTTTTTTTTGTAAAGCATTGGTATGTTGATCTCTTTTGAGTAGCTTACACATGTTTTGCTATGTGGAAAGCTTTAGAACTGGTCAAATAGTATATTTGTTTTTAAAATGCTATAACAACAGGACAAAAAATTGCTGGAGTTTGTTATTGAATAAATATGACCTAAGAAATCTGAGCAGGTGAGGTGAACCTGTAAAAAGAAAACTTGGAAGAGTCATAGAAGAACAAACTAGATCAGACCAAAAGATCTGTTCTGCAGAAAACGCCAACATAGCAATGGGTTTTTCCTGTTTGGAAATGGAAACACTCAAGTTTTCCTTCAAGTGGAAATTTGACAGAACTTAGATTAGGCAGCATTAAAGTCTTTGTTTCAAGACGTTTGTGTCTGAATACAGCCAACTAACTGTATTCCAAAGAAATGCTGAACCTCAGTGTTTCTTGAATGTGACACAAGTGCTATAAAACAGGTTGAAAACACCTCTTTGTTGCCAGCTAGACATCACTTCATAGGAATTTGAGACATCCTGGGTTTTTTAAGTTTGGAAGTTGCTACAGGTAACAGTTTCAGACCTGTTAAGCTGCAAATAGCAACTTGGCTGATCAGCCACAATATGTAGGTATCAGAAATTTAAATTTTGGTGGCCAAAAATGTCCTGAAAGGTTGGGAAATATGGAAATCTTGTGCAGGAGATTCCAGTTATTTGGGAAGCTTTACAAGAATAACTACTTGCACACACTTTCCATTGCTTTGTTTATAGTAAAGCTAGGAATTATTTCTGGAAGAGCCATTATAGCAGTTTCCTCTAGTGTTTATTCAGTTTGGGAAAGGCTGTGTTTCTAAGCTTTGGCTTAAAAATTATGTTAGTTTTTATTTTATCTATATGAATTGGCTTGTTTCTTCAGTGACTTTGCTTTGACATAGAGCTGTTTGTCTTAATAGTGAGAGACTGGGTAGTTGAGAGCGACATAGTTGCAGGTTGGTTTTAGGAGACTTTTCAGAATAATTTCTCCTGAAGTGACAGCTAAAAACCAGCCTTTCAGATTACAAACTCAGGACGTAACTCCCTCTTTCACGAGGCAGATGGATATAACACATGGTGCTTCCAGAGGAACTGGTC